TGAAGAAAAGAAGGAATTATATCTTTTGCCTGATCATCTGTCCTTGACAAATCAGAAGGCACAAAGTGATCCCTGTAGTGGTTTTGCTGGGCCAGCAGATTTTTTTTTTAATTAGTTACCAACATTTAATTTGCAGGAATTTCATACAAATTCCAAATTTTTGGTCTTGCTGGGAAAATCAGAAGATCTGACAACATGTGGTTGCTATTCCTCATGGCTGAGTACTGGTATGGTGAATATTGGTGATACTTTTGTCTGCCAGCTATGAACCCCTCTTCAGTATTCAGGGATGTCCCCAGTTCATAAGTCCTGGTGGGAGGCAGATGTCATCTGCTACTATTCGAGCTATAAACCAGATACACACCAGCAGGCAACCAAGACTTGGCCAATTAGGCATGTCTCCCAGGTTTATAAATGGGGTGCTAATTTTAGGAAGAATCCAGGACAGGAGAGAATTGGTGAATTATTTCTGACAGTGGAAGGTAACAGCAACATCCAGTTTCTAGGGACAGGAGGGACTGCAGGGGCAGTGGGATCTCCTGGTCCACAGCAGCAGTTTCCTTACTGGCTTGGTTTAGTAGAGTCGTTTTGACCATGCTTTTAGTTGAATGACCTGTCTTTACTCTATTTTCCAAGCCAAGTACTCCAGCCTTCCTAGTGATTATACAAGCTACTCAATGTCTCATTATTATATTTCTTTGCTGCTTAAATTTTATTTCTAACAACTCCACCCCATTGAAGCAGGCCACAGTTTCCACTCAGCCCTCTTCCATTATAGATTAACCAGGTTACTTATAGATACATGAGTTTGTAATCCCAGTCTTTATTTCTCTGTCTCTTTACAGAGAGACAATTTTAGTACTGATGCAAGATTCAGGAAAATAATGAGAAAACCATTCCCAAAGGGCACCTACTTTCTCCCACAATCATTGCTAACTGAGCAAAACTGGGTCACGTACATAGCTATAAGCCAATCAAGAGAAAAAGGACTGTGACTGGCTGAGTCTAGTGCAGTAGTTCCACTTCGACTGAATATTAGAATCCCAAGGGAAACTTTGTGGAAGCCAATACGGCCAGGCTCAGTGGTTTATGCCTATAATCCCAGCTCTTTGAGAGGTTGAAATGGGAGGACTGCTTGAGCCCAGAAGTTTGAGAGCAACCTGGGCAATATAGCAAGACTGCATCTCTACCAAAAAAATCAAAGTATTAGCCAGGCATGGTGTTGTTGTGCACCTGTAGTCCCAGCTATTCAGGAGGCTAAAACAGAAGGATTGCCTGAGCCCAGAAGATCGATGCTGCAGTGAGCTGTGATAGTGCCATTGCACTCCGGCCTAGGAGACAGAGTAAGCACCCTGACTCAAACATAAAGAAATAAATACCCTCTTCCCTACCTTGAGGAGGTGAATCTCCTTTCTCTCTCTCTCTCTCTCTTTCATTTCCTTTTAAATAAACTATATTTTCTAATATAAATAAATAAATAAATAAAATCCCAATACAGGGTCCCACTTCCAGAGGCCAGATTTCATTGACCTGCCTGGACCTCTGGCAATGGAGTTTTTAAAGTTCCCCAGGTGTTTTTAGTGTCCAGCCAGGGCTGAAAGTCATGATCTAGTCAAGTCTCCACCCCTGCCCATTTTACAGATGTGAATCCTGGGGTTCAAAGTGCATGACTCATGCATGTAATCCTAGTGCTTTGGAAGATTGAGGCAGGGGTCTTACTTTAGCCCAAGAGATCAAGACTACCCTGGGAAATATAAGGAGACCCCTGTCTCTACAAAAATAATTAATTAATTGATTAGTAATAAATTAGCAGGGTGTGGTGGTACCGTCCATAGTCCTAGGTATGAGAGGAGGATCCTTTGAACCCAGGAGTTCAAGGCTTCAGGGAGCCATGATCACGCCACTGCACTCCAGACTGTGCAATAGCGCAAGACCCTACCTCTGGGAAATAAAATGAGTACATCAGAATCCCCTGGAAAGCTTGTTACAGCACAGATGTCTGGGCCCCACCCCCGGAGTTTCAGATATCATGGGTTTTGGGATGGAAGGAAGAATAATTAGCATTTCTAACAAGTTCCCAGAGGATTCTGCTGCTCTTGGTCCATTAAGGGCTATTAAGTCAAACTATATTGAAAAAGAATGAAATCGTGTCCTTTGCAGCAACATGGATGAGGCTGGAGGCCACTAACCTAAGTGAACTAACTTAGACGTGGAAAATCAAGTACTGCCTTTTCTCACTTATAAGTGGGAAACAAACAGTGGGTACAACATAGACATAAAGATAGAGGTTGGTCACAGTGACTCACGCCTGTAATCCCAGCATTTGGGAGGCCAAGGCAGGAAGATTGCCAGAGCCCAGGAGTTCAAGACCAGCCTAGGCAACATAGTGGGACCTTGCCTCTATAAAAAAGTAAAAAAATTAGCTGAGTGTGGTGGCGTGTGCCTGGAGTCCCAGCTACTCGGAAGGCTGAGGCAAGAGGATTGCTTGAGTCTAGAAGGTCGAGGTGTGGTGAACCATGATTTACCACTGAACTGCAGCCTGGACAACAGAGCAAGACCCTGACTCAAAAACAAAAAAAGACATAAAGATGGAGATAATAGACACTGGGGACTCCAAAAGGGGATACTGAAAGGAGGGTGAGGGCTGAAAAATTACCTATTGGGTACAATGTTCAATATTTGGGTGATGGAAACACTAGAATCTCAATTCCTACCTTGACACAACATACTCATGTAACAAACAAGCACATGTACTCCCCTGAATCTAAAATGAAAACAATATTTTTGAAAAGTGCATAACTCAAAAAAGAAAAAAGAAAAAGAATTGGACCGTATTGGTAAGATCCAGTTCTGCCCCTTACACCAAGTGAGAACTTGAGTAAGTTACTTAACATATCTTCAAAATGGGGCCAATGATAGCAAGGCAGGTTTATGTAACAGTGGAGTTAGCAAGTTGAATGGAAAGCACTTAAACCCATAGCAACTGCCTGATGGATATGAGGCATTCTCATTCATTCATTTACCAAATAATTATTAACTGGGTATTTCCCTTGAGCCAGTCACTGTTCCAGGCACCAGAAGTAGAGTGGTCAAAGTTTCTCCTCTCAATGAGCTTACAATCCATTTTGGAGGCACACAGTGGATGACCTTTGTCCCATATAATATAATGTCACACGGAAGAATTCTGCATTCCAAGCAAACTGAACAGCAGATGCAGACAGAGCTTTGTGAGAACTTGTTCCAGTCTTGTTTGATTCTTCCAGCTCAAGAAGATGGTGGCATCATGCTTCTAATGCAATGCATCCTTAGCAGGATGTCTCTTACCATCATGGTTGAATAGCCCAGGTTATGACATAGTCCCACCAACCAATCCTTTAGGTTTTATTTGAGATGAAATTTTTGAAACCAGAACAGGATGGGTGGAGAGTGGTAGAAGGGAAGGAAAGAATAGGAAGTCATGGCCTTGGATGCTTTATATTTGTTATTTTATTTAATCCTCAAAACCATCTATAAGTGGGTATTGTTCGCCAAGGAGAGAAGCAATCTGTCCAAGAATGAGTGAAAAAATTGGCCAGCTCATGAACAGCCAGGATTAAAGCAGTGGCTCACGCCTATAATCCCAGCACTTTGGGAGATCGAGGTGAGGGTATTGCCTGAGCCCACGGGTTCAAGACCAGCCTGGGCAACTTGGCGAGACCTCATCTCTACAGTACATCAAAAAATTAGCTGGGCATGGTGATGCATGCCTGTAGTTCCAGCTACTTGGAGGGCTGAGGCAGGATTGCCTGAGCCCAGCAAGTCGAGGCTGCGGTGGCTGTGAGCATGCCACTGCACTCCAGCCTGGGCAACAGAGTGAGACTCCAACTCAAGTAAAAAAATTGTTTTTAAATAAAATAAAGTTGGCCTCCAGAAGAAACAGAGAGTAAGGGCACTGTTATATCACAAGCCCTGTCTGACCCTCTTCCTTGGAGTTCACAGGCAGGGACTAGTGTGAAGCCGTAACTGCCATCATATATTTATCCACCATCCCTCTGCTTCTTTCCTGAAGCAGGTGACAGTGATGTAATCAGATGCAAGGAGTACAGCTACTTCCAAATCAGAACACGGCTGATCCCAGGCAGGCCTCATCTCCTTCCACTATGTTTGACTTTCTCACCATGTTGGGGGAAAAAAGACTTTATTATGGATATTATACACAGTCATTGCTGGAAAACACAGACCAGCTAAAAAGAAGAAAATAAAAGTGATCCAGAATCCCCTCGTGCCAGGGGGAAAAAAAAAATATGACACTTAGTGTTATTAGTATCGCAGATCACAGGAACCCTGTCCTCTGTGTTTATTAATTAGCCCCTTCTAGTTACACATATTGACCTAACCAGAAGTTTATCTATTTATTTGGTTTTAACCCTAGAGTTCCCCTGGAGGTTGGTTCTCTAAATTTTGAGTGAGGGACACAGATTCTGGAGATAGGTAGTTTGGAGTCGGGTTTGTTTGGGGATGTTTTCACTTCCAAATATTCACTTCCCAGCTTTGAGGCCCGAAAGAGATTGAGAGCCTTTTTTTCATATGGTCATCTATATTCAAAAACCGGCCGTGCCACTTGGGGTTGCTTTATCCTTAGGAGTTTTTTTTAGCCTGACAGCTTTCTGGTCCTCTGAATCTAAGTGTGTAAACCTTGGTGATGGCGGGAATTGGCCTTGGCCGTGAGCTCTTACTGTGTAATGATGACTGGCGGCGGCAGGGAATGGCCTTGCCTCGCCCGCTCCAGTCTCTGGAAGCCGCTAGGTATCTGGGAGAGCGCAGAGCGGACTGGAGGGGCGGAGCCGGCAGAAGCCCGGCGGCCGGCGCCTCCGGTAACCTAGCAACCGGCGCCTTAGCAACGGAGAGGAGGCGGGACCGAGGGAGGAAGTCGGAAGCGGGCGGCTAAGTCTCGCGAGAATTGCTTTTGCGCGCGAACTCTAAGTGCGAGGGTCTTCTCACAGCCTGCCGGTGGCCGTGCGGGTGTTTTGGGGTATTTTAGGGGCGCGACGACTACAGCGGGCCGGGTCACCTTCGTTCTCTCCGTCATGGAGACCTCAGCGTCCCAGCAGCAGCAGCCTGCGGCGGCCAAGACCAAAAACCTGCCCTGGTAGGAGCAGAGGCCCGGCGGCCGCGGTGGGAGGCGGGGGCCGGGGAGAGCAAGTGACGGGTCCCCAGCCTCAACTTGTCCCATTGCCCCGGACCTGCAGCCGGGCCGAGCCACAGAGGTGTTCCCCGATACTCCCCAGCTCCCCAGCGCTTCTCCGTTCTGTTAGGACTTTTGCCAGGTGTCATCCCGTTCCACATTCCACTTGTCGAAGAAGAAAGCGGCTTTGGCACCGGGGTGATAGCGCAAGGGTTCGATCCCGCGTCTTCTGACGCCTGCATTGGCCTCCGCGCCAAAGTGCCCTCCTTAGCCTTGTCAAAATCTTCGATGCGACTATTGGCCAGTTTTTAAACTAAAATAATCATAACGCTTCCCGAGTAACTCCTATTGAATGACTTTCTATTAGACTAGCAGACACCCTGTTAGATATTCGTTCCGTACAAAAGGCCCTGAGATGTGGGCACTGCTGCTACTCGAATTTTACATGTGAGGAAACAGCATCTTAGAAACGTTGAATGACTTGCCTAAAGTCCAGGGCTAGAAAATAGACTTGGATTTGAACCTAGGAGACTGAATTCAGATCTTGTACTCTTAACCGTCTTACTTCAACAACTGTGACCTGGTGATGCTTTGAAGACTTTGATAGAGGGAGGAGGGGGAACATTTAAAAATTACCTGTGGAGTTCAGTGTTCGCTATTTGAGGACTGGGGGACACCAGAAACCCAGTCTCCACCAGTATGCAATATGCCCATGGAGCAAATATGCACTTGTACCCCCTGAATCTAAGGCAGAAAATATAAATTAAAGTTAACACATTTCCCATGGGAAAAAAGAAAAAGAAGTATCACTGCGCATTGCCAGTTTATACAGAAAAAAAAAAATTTGATGGGATTTGACTTGATTTAGAAAAACTCCAAACAAGTCCTTGTCTAATAGAGTTGTTTGTAATGTGGTAAAAAACACATACGATCTACCGTTGTAGTCATTTTAAAGTGTACACTTCAGTTGCATTAAGTACATTCAAGAATGTTGTGCAATCATCCCACTATATCATTCCAATATTTCTTCACCCCAGATGGAAACCCCAATATCCATTGACAGCCACTCCCCATATTCCCCTCCCACAGCCTTGGCAACCACTACTCTCCTTTCTCTCTAATGATTTGCCTATCCTGGACATTTCATGTAAGTGGAGTCATACATTATGTGCTACATTAAGTCATACATGTTGTGTCTGGCTTCTTTCACTTGGCATAATGTTTTCAAACTTCATCTATATTGTTGCTGTTATCAATACTTCATTTCTTTATGGCTGAATCATTCCATTGTATGGATAAGCATTATGTTTAGTTTATCCATTCATCTGTTGATGGACATGTGGATATGAGTTCAATTTTAAATTCGCATTGAAATAATAGGTGCCCATCCAAGTTGAAATTATAGGCAGACAACTGGAAAGGTGAGATTAGAGCAGTTTTCAACCTCATCACTATTGACATTTTGGCCAGCTACTCAGGTGGGAAGGATTTGAGGAAAGGATCTGTCTTGTGCATTGTAGCAAGTTTAGCAACATTCTTAGTGCCTACCCACTAGATACCAGTAGCACCCTCTGCCCAGCTATGACAACTAAAAATATCTCCAGATAATGCTGAATACTCCCAAATGGACAAAATCTCTCTTGTTGAGAACGGCTGACTATATCCAAACTTAAAGGATTTTCTCTTCTTTTTAAAATGAGAATATGAAAGGATCCTTTTGCGTATAACAAAATATTCTTGCACTTATATGTATATCACAATAGATGCTAAATTGTATTTTAGGGTTGAAAAATACCGGCCACAGACATTGAATGATCTCATTTCTCATCAGGACATTCTGAGTACCAGTAAGTATCCATGTGTCCATTGCTTTTACCCTAGTTGAAGGACCTATATACTTTTCTTGGTAATGTTGTCTCTGCTGAGTAATAACTGAAAAATCTGATCAAGCTTTACAGAATGTGGCTTTAAGATTTTTCATTCTTTCAGACAGCTGCAATCTAGTGGTTAAGTCATAAACATGAACATAAGGTTTCGACACAGTGGGGTTAAAAGTAGCCTTACAGAGACTTGTTTAAGTCCACTGATGTCACCAACACCCAGAAAAGTGCTTATAACACAGTAGACACTCACTAAATATTTGTTGACTGGCTGCACAATTGAATAACTCCCAATTGCACTAGAAACACAGAGTCGAGGTACCTGCATCAAGGTGCATCTGCCTCTGATTTGAACATTGCATTGGGTTGAAGAGCATTCACCCCATTGCAAGCGACCACAGTGAGCAAGGCAACTCCCAAAGACTGATGGTATCCCTCTTTCTTCCCAATCCTCAGTTCAGAAATTTATCAGTGAAGACCGACTGCCACACTTGCTTCTCTATGGTCCCCCAGGGACAGGAAAGACATCCACCATCCTAGCCTGTGCTAGACAGCTATACAAAGACAAAGAATTTGGCTCCATGGTCTTGGAGGTAAATAATATTATTCTTGCTCTACAGATACCTTATACCAGTTTCTTAACTTCAGTTCTGCTAGTTTTATTTTACTTTAAATGTAAGTTATCCCACTGACAGTTGGGAAGGAAGTAAATTTGAAATAAGTTATGTCAGTTTGCTTTTTTCTGTAATGGTCATTTTGGTCTGGATTGGTACTGGTCAGCTAGAGGGCAGTTGTAGGGCTAGGCATTGTTCTTTGCTGTTACCTGCTTTTACCTAGGCCTGACTGAGCTGCTGCCCATCTGCCTCGCTCCCCTCCAGATCCATTCTCCACCTTTTTCTTGTGCAGAAGGCTGAGCTATATTGACTATAAGCTCCCTTCCCCCTGGCTTCTGGCTGGGTTTGGCCAATAGGAGCCCTGGCAAGGGGAAGTGAGTGATGCCAGCATCTGCCCCTGCGGTTAACACTGCCTGGCAGCATCCCCCACCTGCAGGGCATGTCTCACAGATGGTCCCCTTCCCATAGCCCTCTCCAGGACCCTCCAGCCGTTCCCTCCTCTAACCCCTTTAGGCTTGGCGGTGATAGCAGATATTGCATAGCCCTGTGGTTTCCCCTCACCCCAGAAATACTTCTATAAATATCTTTGTTTAGTTTTCTTCAAATTACTGCGTTTGAGTATGCCATCTGTATATTGCTTAGAATTTGACTGATATACTTAGATGACAAAAATTAAAACTGTCTATTGCAAGAAAAAATGTTTAACTTACTTTTTAGATATGAGTTTTAGAAACTTGCTGCTACCAATGCCCTTACTTCAGTGTATTGAAAACTTGTTAACCACTGGACTGTGGTAGCTAAAATTACCATCATTCTGCTCATGCCAGGGGTGCTGTTCAGTGTGACCAAACCAATTAATTATTTCTCCAATTTATGTTAGAGTGAGTGTCACCAGAGGGTGAGGGCAGACTAGCCACTTGTCTTTCATCATGTAATGGAATTATCTCTTGAGTTCTGAGTACAACTCTGAGTTTTTTCTTTTTTAATCATTATCTCTTAGCTGTCGTTAGACCTTGAGAGCTAGTTTGCTGAGCTGGATTGATAGAAAGATACACCAAAACCAAGAATTCATAGGCAACATAGCAACTTGGTTTTTATTTTTACTTGTTTTTTCCGCCTGTAGCTGAATGCTTCAGATGACCGAGGAATAGATATCGTTCGGGGACCAATCCTGAGCTTTGCTAGCACAAGGACAATATTTAAGTAAGAATTATTTGTATAATTTCTCTTCCTAGAGATTTTGATTGGTGAGATGCTTTAGCTTAATTCTTAAAATCCTCCCCTTTGCCAGTTTTAAAGATTAAAAAAATGACTTTGTTAAAAACTGCCATAGAAGATAAAGTACAGGGATGGTGGTAAGAAATGTTATAATGCAAATATTCAAATAAAATGTTCTCTGCATCTGTTTTAGCACATTCTTGAGAGAAGGGTTAACTTCATTTTATTAACTGAGGGCTGATTAGATTACATCCTAACCAAGAGTGTCTGAGTAGTTTGAATTTAAACAAAAATAAATGGAGATCGGGAAGGATAACTAGGATGGTGACTAAAAGAAAAAGATGCAAATGTGAGTAAAAGAGATGGAAAAAGCAGATAGAATGGCAGGTACTAGGCAGAAGGTGAAGACGCTAGGAATATGACATGAGCAAGTATAGAAGTTAGTCCTCATTTTCCTTGGGGTTAAAGCATAATGGAGCATTTCCTCTCTCTGACCACAGATGTCTGCTTTGGTTAATGTTCTGGGAGAAACAGCCTTGCTGAGATGGGGCCTGATGGCACAGATGGGAAGATGTAGATTTGGGCCAGATGTTGGAGTTAGATTGAATAAATCATTAGACAGCATTGTCTGTTTTTCTAGGAAAGGCTTTAAATTAGTGATCTTGGATGAAGCCGATGCCATGACTCAAGATGCCCAGAATGCCTTGAGAAGAGGTAAGAAGAGCTGCTACATATAGCATGACTTGTTTTCTGTTTTCATCTTCTGACTCAGAGAAACCTCTTTGTACCTTTCTCCTTGTATCCCATCTAATAATCCAGACAAAGTACCATGGCAGCTGGTAGCTAGGGAACCTCTCAGCAGCTTAAGGACGTAGCCCTTTTGGGACTTTTCTAAAAGACAGGGTCTTACTCTGTTGCCCAGGCTGGACTGCAGAGACATGATCATAGGTTCAGCCTCAAACTCCTGGGCTTGAATGAATTCTCCCACTTCAGTCTCCTGAGTAGCTGAGACCTCAGGCACGTGCCACCACACCCAGCTAAATTTTTTTTTTAATTTTTGAAGAGACAAGTTCTCGTTATGTTGCCCAGGCTGGTCTCAAACTCCTGGGCTCAAGTTATCCTCCCACCTCAGCCTTCCAAAGTGCTGGGATTACAGGCATGAGCCACTGCATCTGGCCTTGGGACTTTTAAGTATGACCAGTCAATGGTGTTTCATCCTTCTTTGCCACTAGGTCAATTTCAGAGTTGGGAATTTGTATCATTCAATGGGAGTGGGTATAGAAAGTCTTTCATTCCTAAATTGTTGGATAGACCTTTCTATTGTGCCCTTTGGTGCCCTTTGATACAAAGTAACCAGAAAAAGAATATCTGAAGTTTAGTCACAGAAAGCTGACATTACTTCACTACTTGCCAAGTGAATGATTTGGCAGGGAAGGTGAGAGCACCCATGATGTGTCTGTCTTAAGTGCAGTTAATTTCTTTTAAAGGGCTCTCATAATCTCGCATTAAGATTCCAAGTGAATCAGCTACGAGAATGATCTTTAGGAGTTTGGGAGGAAGGAGTAGATTGCAGCACATGTTTAAGAAGAGGAGGAGGAGGAGGAGGAGGACAGTTAGAATATCTTCTGGTCCTAGAAGCTTTGGCAGCCTTTCTTCAGCATCTTGTTCTGTAGAGTGACTGTCAGTTTGGGCAGATCCCCATGCGAGAACATTGGGTACCTACGCAGTGAAACTGGTGTCATAAGCATCTCTCAGTTTGGGTTACTGCTCCCTTGAGTGCTCTAAGGTTTCCAGTGTCCACTGAAACATCTGCAAGAAACCGTTCCCCTTCCTGCCTGTGGAAGGTGAGGTATCATCCACCTGCCAAATAACATTTTGTATAAAATGACGGGAATAGATAGGTCTCCTATCTTAATGCGACGAGGTGGCAAAAGTGCCAGAACCATGGCAAATCGTGAAAAAGGAAGCATATTGTAAGATCCCAGGGAGGCATGTTCAATATTTAGAAAGGGAGTGGCTGAGCTCCAGTCCTAAACACACCGGTGCCGCCCTCTCAGGTTGCAGGTGGCATCCCCACTTGTCTGCATTCTGAATCTGTTCCTGTACCTTCCATGTGACCAGAGAAAAGTTTAGGCTTTCTGGATCCTTTGAAGAAGATTTTGATATGAGGTGGTTTTATTTTCCCTCACCAGTGATCGAAAAATTCACTGAAAATACCAGGTTTTGCCTCATCTGTAACTATTTGTCAAAGATCATCCCCGCCTTGCAGTCCCGGTGTACAAGGTTTCGATTCGGTCCCCTGACTCCTGATCTCATGGTTCCCCGCCTGGAACATGTGGTAGAAGAAGAGAAGTGAGTATATTGAGGGCCCTTGGGAATTCAGGGTAGTGTAAGGAAGGCTCTGGGACACCTGGCTGGTTCGTGTTTAAAGCAGCTGATGTAGGTAGATGACTTAGCAGAGTGCCTAGCACAGGGCAGGCATTGGGGACTGTAAGCTGCTATCACTTTCTCTGGTATCTCATAGCCATTCCTCATGAAAGTCATTTAGTTCTTGATTTCTCTTGATTCCATCCTCCTCCCCTGGAATATGTCCCAATTTCCTCCTACTCTTCTTTGTCATTGGAAACTGCATGCTGCAGAGTCCCTTCTGCAAAGATGCTCCTAGCTTTTTTTGACCAGAAGGGAAGGTTCTGAGACATTACATTCTGTGTAATCAAATGCCAAGCAAGACCTGAGCGGCTGCTTATTTTAAAGTAGGAGTTTTGGCTCTGTGATCGCAAATCATGCCAGGCCTTTCTCCTCAGAGAACATAATTCAAAGCGAGTTGCTCAGCATTAAAAATGCTTGGTCCTAAATACAGGCTGCTCTAGATTTTGAGTGGGCTGTTACTACTATTGGAATCCTGTGACCCTAAAAACCAGAGTTAATTCTAGATCATATTGATCGGGAAGTATTAGCTCTGCTCTTGTTTTTCATTCTTTTAAAGCTTTAATCATTCCAGGCTGTCTTGTTCCTCGTAGCAAATGCTTGTTTAGGTCTTGTGCTGGAAGATGGAATGCTTAGGTCTTGTGCTGGAAGATGGTGCTCTCTGGGGGGCCTAATAAATCCCTTTTGCCTACTTCTTTTCAGAGTTGATATAAGTGAAGATGGAATGAAGGCACTTGTAACTCTTTCCAGCGGAGATATGCGCAGAGCTCTGAACATTTTGCAGGTATGGTCCTGCTTGTAGCAAATCTCAAGGCATTGCTTCAAAGTCGTTTTTTAAGAAAGACAGTGCAACAATATGACCAACTTGTACATTCAGAAATCTAGAACTGGGAAGACCTTGATCTCATAATGTGCTGCCTTCCCCTTTCCCACTTAGTACTTTGATTAATTGAAAGAATCATTTGTTGAAAAAAAGCAAAGGTAGGGAAGGATTCTACATTTAGTAGCCATCAAGCTGCAACATCCTCTGATGAGGCCAGCTCTTCCCAGTGTAGACCATATGGGGTTCAAGTTGTCCTGTGCCCATGTAACATAGCTGCTCACCTGCGTTGCAGTCTCTGCAATTTCTTTTTGGCACCCTAGTTTGGCAGCTGCTGTGACAGCTACTGTGATCTCCCCTCTGTCTGCACAGAGCACCAATATGGCCTTTGGAAAGGTGACAGAGGAGACTGTCTACACCTGCACAGGGCACCCGCTCAAGTCAGACATAGCCAACATTCTAGACTGGATGTTGAATCAAGATTTCACCACGGCCTACAGAAGTATCCTTTCTCACAGCCTCCCAGCACATTGAGTCCAAGGTCTAAAGGTGGCCCAGGAGTGTGGGCTGCAGCCAGTACCTACATCTTGCCAGCAAAGGATTTGACTGGCTGGATGCAACTCTGATCAGCTTGTCGTGGGAACGAGTGTCTGTAGGTGGAATGGGTACTCGTCTTTAACACCCCAAAGTTCTTCCTGAAGGGCTCTCACCTGGGTAGGGCTTGAAGCAGCTTCACTCACAGCTGGGAGAAAAGCTTAGGTCTTGTGCTGGAAGATGGAATCATTTTGAAGTGGTCAGTGTTAACTCTTATATTGTGAAATTAAAAGCTAAGAACAGAGATATGAAGCATTTGAGCGAATGCATTTGGCTTTATTCTCTACTAGAAGGAGATAAAATTGCATCTTTCAGAAAGCTCTTAGTGACGATTAGGCATAAGAAAAATAAAGAATTGGGGTCCAACCCATGCAGTTCCAAACTGAAAGAGAAACAGTTGTGTTGGGATTAAAAGCCCTACTTTAAAAAGTCACTTGCCAGGGTTTGGATTCAAAATTCTCTGCAGTATGTTTGTTCTGGAACTTGTTCCCTTTGCCTTAACTGTTCCTCTCTAGATATTATGGAGTTGAAAACTCTGAAGGGGTTGGCATTACATGATATCCTGACTGAGATACACTTGTTCGTGCACAGAGGTAACTTACATTAGTCCCTATTGGAGGCTGTAGGGAAGGTGGCCTGCTTTGGTGTTAAGGATGGTGGAAAACAGAACATGAGGCTTCATTTTTGAAGCAAAGAAACAGTAATGAAGTATAAATCAGACCCCTTCTTGTTAGCAGTTCTGTCTTGCTGCTATTTAAAAGTTGGTTCTGAAAACCTTCATTTAATCTCTAGAACTGTTGGGAGAGTGGAAAGAAACTCCTGAAGATTGTTTTTATTTCCTCCAGGGGCTTATATTTTATAGCTGGAAGTAGCATATTTTAATTCACATTTCTAAGAAAATATTTTTCCTGAAAGGAAAGAGGAAGAAAGTGTGTCTTAGAAATCAAAGCAGTCTTAAGGAAACTATCTTAAGTTCCATAATTGCCCATATCATCTATCCAGAGAATTGGCTCTCAAAATTGGCAGCAGATAGGGTTACCCCAGAGCAATGAACTCAGCATCTTGGGAAGAATAGACACCAGTATTCCTCAGACTCAGGTGATGCCTTGTGGAGGCTGTAGGAGAAGCTCCTCCCTCCACAGCAGGCATCTATAGGCCGAGAGGCTTAACTGGGTCACTGACTGTTGGTTTTGCCTGTGCCTTTGCAGGCCTCGTCCTGGCTGGCCCACGTGTTTAATTCTGCCGAAGAAATGGTTGGCTCAAGCCCAGTTCTGCACCTTGATTGTGGAAGCTGAGCATGGACCAACTTTTAAAGATCAATTGTTTGTGGGTTTTTAAAAATTGGGATAGCAAGTGAAAATTCAACTTTCAAGTTAATGTATAAAACCACCCAGCTTCTAAGAGCAGTGCTGTGTTCTTAGGATCACTTTGGAATCTGCTAGTTTTTGGTGTTTTTTTTGGCTACCCTACAAAGAAAATAGTGAATAAAAAGTATGAAACCTCTACCATTTTACTTTCTTACAGGTGTGGTATCTAGTGATTAGATTGAGACCTCAGGAATTCAGTGTTATGTATTTGATGTTGACATTCACACTTGTCCTCTGATTTTTTTTTTTTTTTTGATAGTAGGGAGTGACAGACCTCACTCATTTGATTTTGTTTTTCCCTCAGTTGACTTTCCATCTTCAGTTAGAATACATTTATTGACCAAGATGGCAGATATTGAGTGAGTATTTTCCATTTTAATTCTTTTCCTCCTTTGTTTTCTTGTTGTGAGTTGTTTCTACTTGCTTGATTTGTCTAAGTCATCCACATATGGCATAATCTAGTTATTGGTGATACTGAGTGGAATGTGGGGAGGGGTGTGAGTTGCATATTTCAAGAATACAGGGGTAAACACAAAGGACAGTTTAGATCAGTGACATACTGAGATGAAGGCCTCTCCTTACACCTCACAGGCTTGGTCCACATTGGTTCTGAAATGCTCTTGTTATTTGGGTGGCCTGCCTCAGTTCAGACTTCTAGGTCGTTGGAGGATGACCAGCTACCCCCCAGCTGTTAAGGCCTTTTGGCACACTAAAGTATAATGGGGGGGGAAGAGTAAACACAGACTCAATTTTCCACTTCGCCTCATTCCATAAACACCATTATTAGCCCCCAGTGAAACCGACAGCTATCATTTAAGTACAGACAGACGTCAGCGTAGGCCAACTCTAATTTGCAGCATTGGCTTTCATGTGGACAAATAAAGTCACTTATCACTGCTGTGAATATGACGGCCTTGCTTTCAATGGCTGGGCACTTAAAAGGTGTCAAAATGAAAAGCCAGTGTCCTGCTTTACTGACCAGATCACAGACCCACAGATAATGTTAACTAAACTTCCAGGTGAAATGTCTTAGTTAAGAAGCAGGGCTGGGCACAGTGGCTCACGACTGTAATCCCAGCACTTTGGGAGACCAAGGTAGATGGATTGCTTGAGCCCAAGAGTTTGAGACCAGTCTTAGCAACATAGCAAAACCTCATCTCTACAAAATAAAAAAATTAGCCAGGTGTGGTGGTGTACATCTGTGGTACCAGCTACTCAAAAGGCTTAGGCGGAAGGATTACCCAAGCCCATGTGGTCAAGAATACAGTGAGCTATAATTGTACCACTGTACTCCAGCCAGGCTGGGTTGACAGATTGAGACCCCCAACTCAAAAGAATTTTTAAAAAGAGGAAGAAAATCTTCATTTTAGTTTCCTCTTAATGTAATTTGTGGATTAAGTAATCCTTCATTACATAAATTCTGTCTGTCTATATAGTTGGGACAAAGTTAAGTTCAGAACACTGCTTTGATAACTAATAATTTTAAAAATTTAATTTGTCCTCACCAGTTTGAAACATCAAATTTATAAATCAGCGTTTAGGGCAGAGAAGAAAATGTGAGACACATACGAGATTACTGTCCAGGATAAACTTGTTGTATGTGCTGGTTCCCATCTCCCTCCAACAGATTTTCAGCTCCTGTTCTCTTAGGGAAAGGCAGTTGTGTGCAATCCTCCTTTTTCTTACCTTTTGCTTGATTCCTTTCAGGTATAGGCTTTCAGTTGGCACCAACGAAAAGATTCAGCTGAGTTCCCTCATTGCTGCTTTTCAAGTCACCAGAGACCTGATTGTCGCAGAGGCCTAGATGCTCCAAGGGCCCCGTTGGCCACAAGTCTCAGGGCCCAGTAGTGATTGGAGAACAGAGGACAGTTACAGGATGAATCACAGACACCCCAAGTCTTGGAAACCTCTCAGATAGGGGCGTGGTGCAGACATTTAAAAAGTACTGTTTTGTGGTTGTTTGGAGCAGGGATATACAAAACAACTTTAAGGTATGATCATCTTATCGCACTATCCGTCTGTGTTTCATACTGGGGAAAAACTTATTTTTTCCCCTTTTTTTTAAAGCCGTAAAGCTTTTACCTTTCAGTTGCATAGATAACAGGAATTGGCTTACCCCATTTTGGTCTGAAACATAAAGGTTTTCCAACTCAAGGTAAATAGCGTCTCCAAAATTAAGTTTATGATTCTGATCTTTGGCACAGTCTCCATATCTAACTTTAAATAGTTGTTAATGGATTTCTGGCCAAAACTGTGTTGCTCTTATAAAATGACTGAATCCTTAGCTTTGAAAACTTGTCTTTTTTATTTACCCTTTTGAAGTAGAAGAGTTATCAGCAGGTTCCAAATTGCTGGGGGTATGAAGAAAAAAAATTAATATAGAGCTAACCTGAAATTATGCCATTGGGGGCCAGAGGTTGTATAAAACACTTGTTTAATGCAGGGAGGGCATGTGAGATTAAGCCTGACTCTAAACCTAGAACTGCTGATTGGATTGGGGCTTTTGTAGATTTAACATTTATTTTACAGCAACTCTGCTGCATTTATGTTAGTGTTCTTTACAATAAAAACAAAGCAGCTTGCTTGCTGGTTGTGTTACAAGTGACTCCTCTCTCCTTAGCCAGCTATAAAGATGCTGACTTGTCCAGCTTGCATTTACATTAAGACCGCCTGTCCCTAATATCACAGAGTAAACTTTCTTTGGAGGCTGTTCTTTATACAGGTGTCAAATTCTTACACTGTCAAAAGGGAGAAGTCAGTGATTTCCTTTATTCATGGAGGACTCGCTCCCCAAGGACACCAGCAACCTTTGAAGCTAATGGCCAAGCTGGGCCTTCAGACCACCCAGGGCCTCTCAGACTGCTATATGTGATGTTTCAAGATAACCGTGAAATGTAAAAGTTGGCTAGCCCATTCCCAGCCCTTCTGTTGTACTACTTGTTTTAAAAGGGGATTTTTTTTTTTTCTTAATGGAAAAAATGAAACAGAGAGCCAAAGCTTTTAACTTTTTTTTTCCTTCAATGAAAGCCTCTCATTTGGAAATGTTTTTCTTCAAGCAACAAAGGTGGTAGAGGAAATTCCTCGACTTTCTCAACAAGTCATAAAACATTACGCTGGCCTCCATAGAGCACCAATTAAGAAAGCTAAAGAACAAGATGTTGCATTTCTTTTAAAATAATTTAAAATATATTAAATTTTCCTAAGGCAGATTCTGTTTGAATGAGGTGTCTTGATTAGATAACTACATGCCACTGAAGGAGAACAGTACTGTTAAGAAGCTATTTCTGTTTAAGGATAGAGTTGAAACCAGCTGATTAATCCAATGAGGTTAAACAGCAAAGACAGATCTCGTACATAAGAGCATCAGCTAAAGTCATGACAACACCAATTCTTTACACAATTAAGACACATCTTCGCAACTGTTCAATTTAAGTACTATGGTTTTTAGATATCGAGAAAAACACAGTTGTACCTTAACACCTGTTGAGAAAATACAAATAAATATGATGCTAATAAATGGCAGCTGACAACGCAGTAGCCATCTGAACAGTCATGCAGTTTAAGAATACATCCTTGTATAATCTGACATACAAATTTGTCATCTCCTGCACATGCACACCATTGTTTGAGGGGAAAAAAAAGAAAAGCCAATAATAGTGTCTGGACCAGTCAGCATAGCCTCTGATTCCCCTGTAATTTAGTTAAGCTAATTCAATACCTCATACCAAATGGCCCCACAAAAACTTGGTCCTGCTGGTCAGAGGCAAGCCCGAGGAGAAAGCACTTGCCAACATCGAAGCAACTCTGACCACAGCAGGAGAGAACTTTAAACAATGCTACTACTGCATTGGAAACAAGGATGGTGGGTACAAGGCAGAAGTCATCCTTCCCAGCTGAGGGAATGTGGACCTCTCTGCCACCAGAAAGGCTCTGGAAGCTTATTAGTATTATCAAAACAACATCAATAACTGCACTTTGAATCAAAACAACTAGAAAGAGTCCAACACTTGCTGTTCATAGTGGACTGAAGATTTAAGGTAAAGCCCTGTCACCGCAGAAATGGAAGTCTCTTCACATGCCAGGGAGAGAAAGATCCATGACTAGTCCACTGGAATCTGGTTTTGCTACATTCTATTCACAATCCCAAAGAGATGCTACTTCAATCCAAGACCAGATGTTTGGCCCATTATTCCAGCTACTCCATTGCCAGGAAGATTTATCCTGCTTCAAAGAAAACAAGATATGTAGCGTTTAAAAAGTCCTATATGTGAGGAACTCTTTCATTTTCTTGGGGATTGGCAGTGCTAGGACCTGGTAGGTTGTGAGGAAACTTCGAAGGGCTTTCCGGCATAAGTGCTTCAGTGAGGATAGGACCCTAGGAGCTGTCCAGAACTGGACATGGCCATCTCTTGTCCTGAAATGAAACAGAAACCAATACTATGATAAGACAGTCCTTGGAAGTTCATGTTTTCATTGTGATGGATGTTAAATGTCTCTACTTTGACTGGAAATAGCAGCAGACTCCAGAGTGAAATGCAACCCTGACCGTGGAAATGGATGTAAAAGCCATGGTGCTGAATAATTAAGGTTGCTGATAGGATTAGAAGAACTCAAGACACCTTTACTACCAAAGTGCTCTCTCAACACAGCCCTTTCTAAATCAGACACTACCAATTCAAATGTAAAAGAGGGAAGAGTGCCACCTACTGAATTATAGATGTTACCGGTAAGGTGGTCTCAGCTCCAAATGGTCACCCATATAAACTGCATCATCTCAATTTATGTTTTCTGTGGACTTGGCCCATTAAGTGGTCTTTAATTACCTTTAAATTAAACATTGGCAGAAAAGAATATTTGGATTTTATATAATCTTCCTTAAAGGTTTCCTCATAGGCAACAAAATTCTTGATACTTTCTTTCCTTAAAAAGCTACATGGTATACTCAGCAGAAACCACTACCCATCTGTTCAGCTAACAGATACATACCCTGTGGCAATAACTCCACCATGTGGAAAAAATGTGCAGCAAAGACCATTGGTCATAGGAGCAAATGCAATTGGAGTTTTCAGTTCCAGGGCCCAGATCCTGAGGAGTCTAGAGAGAGAGGGAGAAGGACAGGGACATTCACCTATCAACTGACCTAGGGCCATGCAGCCATTCCTTGCAAACACACGCTCTGCGGCCACACACAGATTTCTCTTTGTTACCTGTCATCTGCCACTGTGGCAAGGTACAAGCCTTCCGGAGAGAAGCACACAGATCGCAGTGAGCTAATATGGACATCACTGTCGTCCATGGCAGGATCGACCTGCGTGTGGCTGAGAAGGAAAGAAACAATGGTGGGCCTGGAGTGATGGCCGCCCTGCACCCTGCATCCTCACCCCAGGCAGGAGATCAAACTGCTGTGGCTAGGAAAAGGCTCCAGACGAATCCTGTGCCCAAATGGAACACCTTGGGATTTGCAAACTGGAATAAAGCATCTTAGAAGGCTCCAAGTGTCCTGTGGAGGGGCTGAAGGGTTACTAACACTTCCTTGTGCTAATTTCCTTATGCAAAGTAGGTCAGCCCTCTCTTTAATGCCACAGTACAAAGGCAAGTCTTTTTAAGGCTCTGTTACATGATAATTATAGGACTACCTATTATTTGCTTCATAAAACAACAGACAAAGGGAAAAAGTAGACCGCGTTTGTGCAAACATGAAAATTCACTGAGGAAATAACGGTTTTGATGAGAGGCTCATTCTGAACTTGTTACTACAGTTATTAGTAAATGGAAATAAAGAGTCACTTCGAGGTTTCATAATGCTGAGTTCAAAAAACAACGGCCAGCCTCCCTAGGAAACACAAACTCACGGCTGAGTTAGGGGCTTAATCGACAGTGAAACACGAATCAACAACCCATTGTGCCTTTTTATCCAGGCTGTCCCCTCCTGTGTCCCAGACTCTAAGAGGGACATGTCTGTTTCCAAGCAGGTTTCTCAATGTCAGCCCACCAGGAAGTTGTAGCAGGGATGCAGTCCTTACTGGAGTGCCCTCAGCCTTTCGCCAGTGTAGGGGTCCCACATAATCACATTGGTATCGTAGGAAGCTGTGACGAGCAAGGCGGAGTCGGGGGAGAAGTCACAAGAGACAACACTGCTTTGGTGGCCCTCCAGCTTCCGGATTAACGTGTAGGACCGCATGCTCCAGAGAAAGACCTATGGAAAGTAACAGGTGCCTGGTCAGGGGCAGAAACAAAGTGCTTATGACTTGAATGAGCCCTCTGCAGCTCCCATGCCAGGTAATGCTGAGTTCTACCCTTTCTACAGCTCTTTCAGAACCTATCACAGAGGTTTAAATAAAGTAATAGGTCTGAACTTTAGGCATTTAACCAACAACATGCTCAAGGAGCTCACTTTAAGGGAGAATAAGGTTGGGTGCGGTGGCTCATGCTTGTAATCCCAGCACTTTGGTAGACTGAGGTGGGAGGATTGCTCGAGCCCAGAAGTTTGAGACTAACCTGGGTAACATAATGAGACCATGTCTCTACAACAAATGAAAAAATTATCCAGGTGTGGTGGTCCACACCTGTAGTCCCAGCTACTTGAGACTGAGGCAGGAGAATCGTTTGAGGCCAGGAATTTGAGGCTGTTGTGAGCCATGTTCATGCTACCGCTACTGCTCTTCGGCCTGAGTGACAGAATGAGGCCCAACTCAAAAAAAAAAAGGGGGGGGGAGGAGAATAAGCCAGGCCAGTCTTAGGAAGACCACCAGCCAAAAGGTATCTGTAGAGGATTCTGAGTTCTGAAAATAGAGTAGTAGGTGCTGATAAAGACCTCAGCCCCATGTTATCTTGTTCCACTTAAAACCGAAAATATGGGTCAGAAGTGAACTCCAGGGCCACCCTACATAGCAGTGGTAGGCTGCCAAGCCATTCTACATCCTCCACCCAACTTACAGAACCGTGGAAATCCGACCCAAGACTGTATATCTGACCTAGCTGTCACTTTCAGCTTTTTTTTTTTTAGAAGCATTAAAAGGAGGATTTTATTTTCATTCCTTTAAGAATACTTTCTTTCACATAGTTCCAAACCTCATATGAATGATTAACCACCAAGGCTGTTCCAAACAGTGAACTCTTAACTTTCCCTTCAGTCATAGCTAATGGCTCGATGCAAATACAAAATTTAAACAGAAACTGTTCCCAGATTGTTCTTGGGTTTCTAATTTTTTTTTTTTTTAAAGTAACAGGGTTTCAGGTCAAAGTTTATCAGGCAGCTGTATCTGTCAAGATCTGAGTTAGAAATCCTAATTTGATGGACTCCACCGAGATGGTTCAAAGGAACTGCGGATCCATGTGTGGGTTTTTAAATCTTTTAAAAGACTTTTTAAAAGCTTTAACATCTTAGACTCCAAGGAGAGAAGACACTTTGGAGGCAATGTCTTTCCCATTTTATAAAAGGAAACAGCCCTCTGAGGAAAAGGAACAAAGTGCTTCCAAATACCTCTTCTCTGTGGGTTCATGTCAAAGTGCAAATCATGAAGAACTTGGACAAGAGCAGCTATGGCCCAAATGTGTGCCTTCTGTTAAGGCCAATCTGCAGGTGGATTTGAGGATACTGGATTTACACAACACCACACACGCGCGCACACACACGGCCACCACTTCAGACCTCCACGTCTCACCAAACTCAAGCATTTGTGCTGGAGACTCACCGACTTCTCTCCTGCTGCAGAGCACAGCATGCTGCAGTCTGGGGAGATGGAACAGCAGTACACCCACTGTAGGTGGCCTGATAACACCTGGATCTGTTTACCTGGCAGGAAAAAGCAGCACACGGTGAGCTGACCCTCAACACATCAAAGCAGGAAGACTGGGAAATGAGAACCGGTAGTAACGGCCCCACCCGGCACAGCCATTGGCTCCCTATCAGCTGGGCCCAAAGGCCCAATTTTTAATGCAGAGCAAGAATATAACCAGACTTGCCATTTAAACACCTGTAGTCTATTAATAGCACAGTCTAATGCCCCAGGGAAATCATTACCTACGGCTTCATCGCAGTCTACAGGATCAGCAGGGCAAATGGTGTACATGCACCAAGGACCCTATGACAACAGAGAGTGTTCTTTTGTTTCCCAACTACCTCAAGTATGCTGAAGCATCTTGCTCAATTTTGAGAATGTTTACTTTCAATTCTCCCCCATTTAAGCCCTGTAATGGCTTCCCCAACATCACGTAGATCCTGCTCCAGACTGTCACCCTCCTCCCAGCCTTGTCAGGATGTCTAGATAAACAGTGGTGTGGAGGAATTGGAGGCACACACTCTGGAGTCTGACAGCTTGGGTTTGAATCCTGGCTCCACCCCTTACTCAGCACACAACCCAGGGCGACTCCTGCAATCTCACCAGCTCTTATTTTTAAACAATGCCCATCCATAGGCAATGGCTGAATAAATAGTGGTGTATCTACCCCATTAATGCAGAAAGAATTAGAGATACAGACTTCCCTTGAGGTATATTTAATGAGAAAAGCAAGATATAGAAAAGATGTGAAGAATCACTCCATTTTTGTGAAGCCATAACCCCAAAACCCATGAATGTAAGCATGTGTGTGTGTGTAGGATC